ACCACACACACACACACACACATATATATATATATATATATATATATATATATATATATATAGGCAAATTTTCTGTTGTAATCCTGTAAGCAAACATTTTTTCTCTTATTTCTCAGATTATGGTCAACTACACCAAATTCCCTATTAGAAGTACGAAACACGTATCATCGCCCTGTGATGACGGCTATATATATATTCCGGTATGTTTATCGAAGGCAAATATGAAAAGGAGCGAATCTCCTATTTTTTCTTTTCGTTACGAATCAACCCTGTGTATCGTTCCTCTTTAAAAAAAAAAAAAAAAACTCGATGAGGAGTAATATCGACTCTTTTCGCTCGATCTTTCCACTGCTCCACACGCTTAAATGCTTACACTCTTAAATGCTACTCGTCGCGCTACTCCCTTGGCTCTTTCATTATAATCTTGGCCTCTTTCCCTTTCTTTGTCGTACAGGTAGCATTTATGGGGATGCTGTATCTGGTTTATCTGGTGGAGTGCTACCATTCGCCAATCAGGATCGATCTATTACACACGGAGAGCCAGGACAGCGTGTTGTCCAAATTGGCACAGCTAAAGATGGCACAGCCGCGAATATGGTGGAAGGCAGTTTCCTATCACTACGTGCGCAGGAAGCGGCAAATCACGCGTTATAGGAATGGAGATAATTATACTACCACACAGGTGACGCGCCCCATTACCTTTTATCGAATACGCTTTCCTCTTTAATCCTTTCAAGCACGAGCTCATGAGTATCACAAAAGTTGCTTGAAAGATTAAAATAGAAAAGAACTATTTATTATAAACTATTTATTATAAAATTTAAAAATTTTCGATCTTTATGTATCACTTTGATGAAATCACAGTCGTAATTCGAATGATAGATCTTCTGTTTTAGAGGTGCGATTTCACGTAGATATCCATCAGGGAGTCGATTGTGTATCTCGAAACCTAGTAAATGATAAAAGTGAGCTCCCACTTTATTGGTAGTTTTCATCATAGTGGAAACGCGACATTTTTCACGTGATATTGCTTAACAAGAAATTCTATGTCGAATTGTATCAAATGGTGTCAAAGTATGTCAAGATTGATCGAAATTAATTGAAATTTGCTAAAATTCGTTTTACTTAAAGGCATAGATTATTATTTCCAGCATTATTTTTATGGACATTATTTTTATGCTTTGTATGGAGGAAAATAACAACGAAAACAATAAAATTTGCAAAAGATATTTGATTTTAATAAGGATTTTAATTACGGATATTCAAGATCCATTTGAAATCTCAGTCAATACATTTAGAAAATTATATAGGTTAGTATATAAATATATTAAATATATAAATATGTAAATTATTTAAATAACTAAGATGATAAAATGGCCCTGGTTAAAGCAAATCTTCATGTCTAATAATTTTTGCATAAATTTTAAAATTTCCAGTTCAAATAAAAATTATGAAATTGTAAAAGTATAAAATTCAAAAATATTATTGGACACAAAGATCCGCTTGTAATAAGTAATTTTATTTTGTTAGTTATTTGAATAATATATGGTTCATAAATATCCTAATTGAAATAAATCACATTTTGTTATAAATTATACGTGTGTGTGTGTGCGTGCGTGTGTGTGTGTGTGTGCGTGTGTGTGTGTGTGTGTTTTACGTGTGTCACACAAAAGTTATGTATTACTTTGATTATGTCACTTGCATTTCGCACTCACATTCGTGATTTCCTCACTCTCGTGAGCATAGAGATATCGTATTTTCACTATGCTTATAGCCAATCGCGTGTATTTTTTCACGTGAAATGAAAGTGCGAGAAGTGAAAACATTCGATGATGATAATCGACCAAGAGGGTCGATTCTGTAATTCGAGTGAGATCACTCACTTTTTGCACTTTCATCTCACGTGAGTTTATCCGCGTGATTCTATAACGATGAAGTGAAAATACGAAATCACTAAATTTGCCGATGTAGGAAAAACCGTGAAAATATGAAGTGAAACATAGGCCATGGTCCGATTCACACTCACAATGCTTAAAAAAATCATTTCATTTTTGTTGTTCATCAAATGTTAACCGAAAATAAACGATGCTCATGAGCGTTGTCAGCATGAATCGGACTATAGCCATAAAGTTCAATTTATTCCTAATTTTTTTCGAATTTTATAATTGAAAACAGACGAGGAATAAGTCGAACTTCGATTAAAAGTGATTAAAAATAAACCGTGAATTATGGAACTGGGCCTAAATAATTTTCTGCTATTATTTACAAAGTCAATCCTGTTGAAAATTAATATCTCTAAGCATTCTTCGAGCGATATTCAATCTATTCTTATTTTAAGATCTTAAGTAATGTCTTAAGATGTTAATACGATTCTCTTATTATTTCATGACATCTTAAGACTATACTTCGATCTTGAATATAAGATCCGATTATGAATATCAGCCTTCGTGTAATTCTCATATGTAGTTCAAAGGCCTCTTCATTCAGTAACAAAATTGCTACTATGTATATTGCCATTTGATTTTATTTTTGTTTTTGGACTGTGCAAAATTATAATATATTTAGGCTCGATTGCACCAACGACTTACTTTGGCTTTAAGCAAAGCTTAAAACTCTCTCTCTGTCTCTCTTTTGTTTTAAAAAGAGAGTTTAGAGAGAGTTTTAAGTCTTAACCTTCAAACTGTCAATTCAGTCGGTTCAGTCGGCTGTAATTCCTCTGTCGCTCTATTTTTCAGTCTTTCTTTCTTGGATCTCACTTTTCGATAAAAAATTTCTTGCCGAACGAATTCCTGTGAGATGACTCACGTTTCCGTTCATGATGAAAGTTACGGAATCGTGCGGACTGCTTATTTTTCGCATTTTCACTACATTTTACTTACAGGAAGTCGATTTGTGTATCTTCAAATGAAGTGACAAAAAAAGTGAGCAAATTCACTAGAGTATTCATAATTTAATTGGTCAATACCTAGTAATCTTTGCTCACTTTTGTAATTTTCACCTCCTTTTAAAATCCACAATCGATCCCCAGAATCGATCACAGATATTTCCTGTTCTTCTTCTCCTTCCATTAGTATAGCTAAGTCAGAGGGATGCGTTGCAAACACTCGTTGCCAGTTGAAACGTTTGTCACGACAATTAGTTAGAAGCGTTAATGATATTATTTATGCTTCTGTTTGGTTTGCAACGCATTGTAGAATGTCCTTTAGATATTTCACATTTTACGAAAATATAAAAGGCATTTGCGGCGAAATATTGAAATCTGATTGTCTTCCCCCCCCTCACTCCTCCGTCCCTTGATCTGATTTAGCTTATAGCGTTTTCGATTTACCGACTCGAAATCAACGATCTATTCTTTTTAGCTGCATTTCTTGATAGCTGAATTTCAGAGGTAAAAGCACGTGAATACGGGCCCCAATTTTTCTTTCTCGAATCTCATCTTTTGATAAAAAATTTCTTGCCGTATAAATTTCTGTGAGAGGGCTCACCTTTTCATCATGATGAAAGTTATGGAATCGCGTGGACTTCTCATTTTCATGTTGTACAGCCGGTCACAGAAAGATTGTCACTTTCTTTTCGATGAGTTTCGAAATGCAGCTTGCTCATCGAGCGATTGGTGTTCTTATAAATGGATCCACAAATAAAAACTAATCGCTCGGTGAGCAAGCTACATTTCGAAACTCACCGAATAAAAAGTATTGCAACCTTTCTGTGACCGATTGTATATGTATGTACAGAATTGAGACAACTGGCAACCCATTTCACGCTGCATCCGCTTTGAAACATTTTTTGATTAGACCAAAGATTGGACGAAGATTTATAAAATTTTTTCTTCTGAAAAGTTCGTTAACGAAATATTTTTAGTGAATCGCGCTCATAATTGATATCGTGATAGCAGAAAAGTTAAAGACGCGTTTGACAAATCTCTCACTCTCTCGCTCTACAGGTCTATTATGAAAGGGTGAACACACACTCGGCTACCACTCACTACTATTACGACTATTGCGGAGTGAAAGACATCAGTAAAGAATTGATACTCGAGGCCAAGATACCAATTACGAAGATCACACTTACTAAGGGCTTTGCATTTTCGAATATAAGATCCGCTACGGAATTCGAAGAGGCACGATCAAGATTTTTCGCCGAACAAGTAAGAAAATATATGTTTGTGTATGCGTGCGTATGATAATTGTCATATTATTGAATGTTTTTTAATTGTAAAATCACTAAATACTTTCGTTCAATCAGAGCGCGTTATTTATCTTTGTGAGCCTAGGCCATGTTCAGCCGATCACAAAAAGGTTACAATAGATTTTTTAGTTTAACATAGATTTTTTCGTTGTAAAATATTAGTACAGAAAAGTATACGAAATGTATATTCATATATAATAATTTTGAGGCTAATAAGCATATCAGTTTTCAAGTTTCGAACAAGCAAGCACAAATGAACAAGCTAACCATAAAATGCGCAAACAGTACATATACATAAGTGCAAAACAGCGTGTGAATAGTGCATATGATGCAGTTCCGCCATTTTGACGTAATCAAAAGCTCGAAAGCTCATTGCGGTATTTTATTAGAAATCTAGTGACTTTAGGTATTTTTTCAAATTATCTAATCAACATTTTAGCTCTGGAAGAATACATCGATAGATCTGTTCGCGTTATTTAAAATCTCCAACAATTTTTGAACTTAAAATAAGATAAATATGATAAAATAAGAAAAGAGAGAAAATGAAGATGACGAGTGCAAAAAGTGTAAGCAACACGACAGACCTAATAGTGCTCACTCAACTGTTGAATTTGCTGAGCATAGCCATTGACATATTCCATTAGAATCCATCTAAAATATAGACCAAACAAGTATATACAAGAGCTCACTCAGCGCTCAGTGAGCTTCTGGATGCATCTATTCCGTATATTTGTTTCATTTCAACTTATTGCACTGTGTGTACCAATTCAGAAAGTGTAGCAATAAAAAACAGACCTACTGTATCATTTGCGTACTTTGTTGTGTTTATTTTAATAGCTTTATTGGTGGGAGGGGAGGAAGAGAAAGAAAAAATGAGAGACAGAGACATTTTATTCGTAATTACTTCATACAAGATTGTAAATAATTAACAAGACTTACACTTTCAGGAAGTTAGTGATGATTATATGGAGATGAGAGAAGGTCTTGATCTTGGATACAATGTTAATACGATGCTGGTTGCTGTTCTCGGTAATCCATGGTTTACAAATCACTATATTTATTGGAGTCTGAGCGCTCTGCTGCTTAGCTGGCCGTTACGAGTAATCATCGAATACAAAACACAATACGCCGATTATCAGGTAAAAACAGTTTTGAATAAAGTTAAGCGGGAGGAATTTTCAATTTAATTGTTTCATTTGAGAGTTTATCATTATTAAATTAAATTATTAAATTATTCATTCACACATAATAATTTCTTTTAGAGAAAGAAAAAATACTTTTATTGTCAAGCTGGATTTTATTAAATCATTCGATGTGATTTTATGTACTATCTATATAATCATTTAAGTTGTACGCCAAATTTAATTTTCAGTGAAACGGAAACCCAACTGAATTACAGTAGTAATATCACAAATTAAATTGATGAGCAATTTGATGTTCATATACAGAAAAGTAGGATTAGCGCTAGGAACTAATATAACTCCTATCACTGTGGAGCTGTGATAGCTAAAATGTGTTTTTAAGATAGGGACAGCTAATGCAGCTAATGTTGCTGCTCAAGCTGAATTTGTTAGCTACTTATATATTGTATAATACATGAAGAATAAAGATCAAAAGACCGAACTAGACTTTCAAAAAATGTAATCAAAATCAGATTTCTAGAATTAGTATTGATGGTTTTCGGTAGCACCATTCGAGTTGCAAAACTTTTTATATATGCTTACGTACCACAATCATACATAATAATAAAAAAATAGACACTGGCTGCGTTCAGCAGAAAAAGCAGCTTTGCAACTGTTGTAAAATTTTTTAATATGATTGGTTTTGCCCTTAGTTCCTCACTAGATCTAAACGTATAAATTAATCATATTTAAAAATTTTATAATAGTTGCAAATACAGTCGAACCTCCGTAAAGTAACCTTCCTTTTTTTTAATCTCCGTAAAAATCATGTCTTAATCTCCCATTGCGCATGCGCATTTGTTTACTTTTACGGTCGATCCCCGACAAGTTCTACAGAGGTTCGACTGTAAGCTGTTTTTTCTGCTGAATACAACTATTATTCTTTGACATTATGTTTTGGTAATAGGAAGACATTGTCTTTTTTAAAACTGCCTGAAGAATAGAGCATTCTTCATGTGAAACTGATCACTGCAAACTGCAATGTTGTGAAATAGAAGCGACATCTCGATCAAACTAATTCAGATGACTACTTTTGGGCATAATCTGACAGCATCATATAAGTTCGGTCTCCTGGGTATCTGTTATGGAATAAGTTGGAATGAATTCGGAAGGCATAAGTCGGAAAGAATTATTTCGTTTTTCTTAAAAAATACAATAGAAATCTAGGAAATAATCGAATAATTCCGATCGAAATTCATTTTGAATAATTCCATAATACACACAGAGAAAAGATTAGCCAAGGCAGCTACCTGGTAAAATATAGCTGTGGCAGTTAAAATGTGTCCTTATATAATAGGGACAACTAATGTTGTTGCTGCCTCAATTTATTTCCTTAAATTTAGGTGCTGCAGCGAAAAATATCCTCTGATAAGTAAAATGGCAACTGGCAACGTCAGAAACAATTGCGAATGAAATGTTCGGTCACGCAGTTAAGATAGTGAGGAATAGCCACTTACTTAGTTATTCATATTAAATGCCCTTTTAATTTTATGTAATAAAGTTGGATGTTGGGCGCAAATGTATTTTAATTTTAATAACAACTTTTAGCCATAACAGCAAAGTTTAAACCAGCAACTGATATTTAGCTGAGTCTTTTTTTTGTATGTATCCCCTGCACTCAAAAAAGTGATCTTGTAGTTATAGCGAAAATGATCTAAGTACGAAAAATAGCTAAAACAGATAAATTTTTAGCAAGTATTGCGATATTGGGTATGCATCTAATCAGATAGATGACAGAGACAGAATTTAGATTTGTGCTATAAATTCTATTGCGTATGATACATCTTTTCTATTACAAAAAATAGTTATAATTCTAGCTGAAGCAGCAAAATATTTTTTTGCATGCTCTATTCTTCACGATACTGTAACAATAAATTTTGCTTCTAGAGACATATAATGTTTAGCTAAATGTTATCCTTTGCTATAGAACTTTTAGGTACGTCTGACATTTTTTTAGTTACCTGTACTAATATATGCTTTTAATTTCAGCTAATAAAGTTTCATGCCACAGTGAACATTTTTTTATCTGAAATAGCTAGAGCTTAGCAATGATACACTAAGCCAGCTCTAACAACTAAATTTGATTCAGTTATTCAAATTTAATTGTTATTGCTAAGTCATTTTTTCTGTGTAGGCATCTTGGTTAGAAAGATCTTAATAACGAATTCAATCGCACGGAAAAAAATTAATTCGCTGATTCAGCAAAGATGTAGCTGTGTGAATTCAATATCAAAAAAATTTGATGGTTTAATAAAGAAATTATGTTTGTAAGCAGTTATCAGTATGCTCATAAAACAAATTCTTCTTCGTTATTATCATTATTGCAGCAAATTAGTTTAATTGAAATAATTAATTTACACACTGGGCTTGCGTACTGCGGTGTATGATTCGTCATGTTTTTTCTTCCATTGCATTGTTGCAAGATAACTGAAAAAGCATATGTAGGCCGGTATTCATGGTCTTATTTCAAGATCATCTTAAATAATGTCTTAAGATGTTAATGCAGCCTTCTGATTGGTTTGTGACTTCTTAAGATGAATATAAGATCTTGAATATAAGATCTGCCTATGAAACCGGCCGTAATTCTTGATCAAGTTTGCTCGTGCATTTATTCATTTATCATCAGTCACATGTTTATTTGTATATAATTATAATTAATATAATAATTTGCTACTGATAGTTAACTAAGTTCTTAGAGAGAAGAAAAAGGAATACGCGACTATTGTGTAATGATCGTTTATTTCGATATTATTTCCTTTTTATAATAGGCCATCTTGGATCGGTATATACGTATTTACATTTATCAACAAATTCTCGTATATTCTCTAATTCTTACAGTCAAATAAGAGAGGAATACTTAACTGTGATTAGTCAATTCTTAAAGATTATATACGGTATATGGTTACGGCCAATTTAAATTTTCTCTTAACCTTCGATTTGCATTAATCAGGATTGGTGAAAGAGGTCTTAAGATGTCTATATGTGTATATGATATCATTTTTGTAAATAAGTTTGTTCTTATTAGCTAATGTTCTCAGATTCTCTGTTAAAAAAGCAAAATTTCTTTTGTCAATAACTTTTTTAAAGAACGTTTTTAACGTTCGATGGCTGAGATCTGTTGGAAATTATTTAGGATCATGATTTTGACAATACATGACAAGGTCAAGATCGGGACAGGGTTTTCTATAGTGATTAATTACCTCCAAACGAATTTGTTAAACAATATTGAGAATATACAGGGCATATAGAGTCAAATATAACGTAATATTTTTAAAACAAAAAATCAAATGAAAAGTATGTAACATATAATATCCTATAATTGATTAAAAATTTTATATATATATATTAGGTGTAGTAAAAAC